TGAGTGTTCGATCTTTGTATTAATAATTATTGCTATTATTACTTATTTATTAATCAATCTATCTATATTTATGATTTATTTATACAATTACTACGTGACAATTCTTGTTCAAACCCTTTGCCTGTAATTTTAATAAAATATTGTTGGTATGTGTTAGCTACTGATCGGTTTGAAGTTTCACATTACCACCAAAAAAATATTTATACTTGAATATTTACAATACCTATCGTCTGTCTTTTTGAAGACGGAGTAAAATTACATTTGTAGGGTTGCCAGATTTCATAAATTTGAAATAGTTATGTAGTTGTTGTCGATAGTTTTATCGATGGGTTGTGAAAGAAGACAAAATATTACCAGAAATGACTGAATTGTGAATGTTACGATACGTTCTAATGATTACTAATTGAATTATTATTGCCTTATTTATTCTTGTTTTGGCAGTTGCCCTAGTGCTGTCGAGATAAATTTTTGTTCATATACATTTTAACAAAAATAGACGGGTTGGTTTATCGATATTGAATTAAAATGAAAAACTTTAAAAGACAGACTATAATCAGTTATTTTTGGAGTCGGTGCCAGCGAAGGCAAGTTTACAAACTTATTGTATAAATATATCTGGAATCGGCGAAACAAGATCTACAACCCCTCTAATCGGTTTTTTAATATGTTATTTAGTTTCAGTTTTATTGTTAAGCAAAATCGACATAATTGATGTTTTTTACTAGCAAAACAAACTTTAGGGGCCAAAATCTCGAAAGTTAACGTTTTTTACTAGCAAAACAAACTTTAGGGGCCAAAATCTCGAAAGTTACCGAAATGCAAATGGGTTAGTTATGACATGGACCAATAAGTCAATAGGTCTGCTAATCGCGATATAAGACAGCGTAGTCGAGTATTTAGTACCTATGATACAATAAATAAAAAAAATGATGTCGCGAAGAGTGCCAAATAGCTACTTTTGTAAATAATGTATTTTTTCAAATTCAAATTGTAAAAACCCAGCACTGGGGAAACCCTGTGTACTGGGTGCTATGGACAAACACCACAAATTACACCCAAACACACGAGAGAAATAAATGTAAGCGATACAAATATTTCTCCCGGCTCGGGAATCGAACCCGGGACTTCTACGTGGCAGACCAGCATGGTAACCGGGATCTGTGCTCATGAACAGAACCCTGGACCCTGCCTGTAATTATACCAGAGAGGCTGTTGTCGCTGCCACGAACTCTATGCACCAAGGAAGCCGCTCTTTTTCGCATAATAGCAGTAAAGACCTTGCTATATGTATATTACTGTACTAAATTCGTAGGGCGCTAAGAGATTTTAAGGTGTATTTGACCCAAAGGCTTCTTTACATCGTTACTACACCTCGGGAACCTACGGATTAACAAAGTTACTATAATTTCCAGTAATAACAAAGAAATCAACTAGATAGCGGTTATTGCAGAGATTTTATGGATAGTGCCGGCTATTCTTTTATTTGTTTAGGATTAGCGCCATCTACTCATATTAGGAAGCATTAATTTATAAATTAGTTTGTAACATATAATGCCACCTATTTACACGCATATTTGTCAAAATTAAAAAACAATTGTTTCAATATAGCAACCGAAAACCGAAATTTGTAACGTGTATGTGTACCTTTGCCTTTGTTACAGATCTACGAGCAAAGATGGGAAGGGGTGAAAAAAAAGGGACTATAGTCCTGGAAAATTTCAATTCCACGTAAGTTATTATATATTATATATTATATTATAAAGTTTTTTATTAATCACAATGTAAAGGCGGCATCACACGGCCCGTGCTTACACGGGCTGAGGTGAAAGATGTTGACGTTCGATAAAACTTAGTTACAATTATTAAAGCGACATCTAGTAGCTGTAAAAGTACCTGGCTGCGTAAAGAAATACATTTCTCGAAGATGGCGCTACAACAAAAAAATCGTTAAAAACCAAGAACAAAGATATACAACAAGCACATTGAAAAATTCGTAAGGTCCGCTACTTCGTTCCATGGCTTAATTAGAATAGCGTGTGGCATGGTTTGCTGGAAGACGTTGGTTCAAATCCAGCCGGATCGAAGGAATTTTTTGTAAGTGGTCGATCTTTGTATTAATAATTTATAAACCTTTTTTATTTACAATAATATTCTTTTATTCTATTCTAGTGCGAATCTTGCTGCAAATCCAGGATTCCAGTCCACATTGAGTCTAGGATCTAAAGAAATAATCAATGAAAAACCGTACAACCCGTTTGAGCATCGACAAGTTGATCATCCGACATCGTAAGTATTGAAAATATTAATTTATTCTATATATTGTAGTGATATACCAAAGTCGAAGTTGCACTGCAATCAGTGTTGCCAACTTAGCGACTTTGTCTCTAGATCTAGATTTTGACATCAAAAGCTACATTTTATTTCTATTTAGCGACAAAAAGTTAGCGATTTTTTGGCGCGTATTTAATTATGTTTCATATATTTATATTAAATATGATTTTATCTTAGCGTTCTGGTGTATTTGCCTGTGCTATAACCATAAAATTCTTGTCAATTAAATGGACCGTATAATGGGTATCATAAGATAAAAGTCTGATTTTCACATGGAACGGGAATTTTTAACAACAGTTTTAGCGTCGTCAGGCGACTTTTAAGCCTTCTGACAAGACTTCGAGCTCTTGGAGTCGAGGTTCGTAATTCCCGTACCATAAGTGTTACATACAATGTTTTTCATCACATTTGCGGGGAAATAAACACATAAATAATGCAGGAAAAGTAAATATCGCTACACAAACAACGATATCTACGTACAAAACAACAATTAGGGTTTTGCAAATGGCGAATTTCTGTTTTTCTTTCTTATAAAAACAGATGGCAAATGTTGCAAAAGACAAAAATGCAAGTAGCCACGATGTATTAGATATAAAATAAATATTTTCAAAATACTGCAGAATTTAAAATTTATGCAATTAATTTGGTAAAGTATAGTTAAATTGTGAATGTATTTTTTCTAACCGACTTCAAAAAAGAGGAGGTTCTCAATTCGACTTCATATATTTTTTTGTGTCTATGTTACGCGATAACTCCGATATTTGTGAACCGATTTCGATGATTACTTTTTTGGTGGAAAGAGGGTATCTCCATGTGGTTCCATTTAATTTTGAAGAAAATCATCCACTTCTAAGGGCTGTTCACGCATGAAGATTCATTTTTATAAAGGAGCAATTATTTTAATGGTTGCTTTTGCTATTCTCCAATTCCAGGCGGTTTTCTCTCTCAATATACTTTGAGTAGTGAGAACTGATTTTTATTATCTCCAGGGTCAAGCTCCGTATAGTGGCTAATTAGGGGATGAATCCGGGTTTGCGCACTTTCCGGTGACCGATTCCAATAAAACTTGGCAAATAGACGTAATTCCACGTACTTTTGAGGTCGGTTTTTTTAGTACTCTGTACTGATATTATTTATATTTCAAGCCTATGCGCAATACATTCAGATTTTTCGAATATAAAAACTTTTTACTTTATCTTGACGTTCAAAAGTACAGTGCAATTTTATTAAATTAAACAATAAATCCATATAAGACGGTAATGTAATAAAAAAGCCCGTGGTCGTAACTTACGACGACATTACGGGCGACTTTGCCTGCATGTTATGACACTGTTTACGAGCAAATGTGTTGAAAAATAAAAAATATTCATTTAATAACTGGGGTCCCTACATTAACTTCCCTCCCTCTTTTTGCATCTGGAGTTAGAAATACTTACTAAATATTTACTGACTCTACAGTGTCTAGTCTTGACAATATGATAAAATTTGGACATTATATAAAGTTTGACTCGTTATATTTTTACAAGTACAAATTATGAATAATTTTTAATACAATCCACAGAACGTTAGGTTCTCTTGCACATCTGCTGAAGTCATCACTGGGATCAGGAATCCTAGCCATGCCCGCCGCCTTCAAAAACGCCGGCCTGGTCGCCGGCGGCATCGGCACTATAGTAATTGGATTCATATGTACGCATTGCGTTTATATTCTTGTAAGTATCCATATGCATCACTTAATTTCCTAAAATGTGCACGTTGCTTCCCATTGTTATGCAGTAACAGCTGAATTGCTTGACAACGTACGTCATAATACGTTCTTGTGAAAGAGTTCGTCCAGACATGTACTACCTTACCTATTTCTGCCGTTAAGCAGTAATGTGATCAGTACTACGTTCCGGGTGCCGGTGAAATTACAGGCACATGGGACTTGTCAACTTATGTAGGTACGTCAAGGTGACGGGCGCGGTGGCAATCTTTGCGGTTTCAAGCTCTGAGTGGCACCACTTGTTCTTTCTGTCACTTGCTATTATAAAAAAAATACATTCCAGACAAACCTTTCATATAACATTCAACAGCGTCAAAGAACTTTTAATGTTTAATAATTTTATAATATTGTAGTAGTACATAAGTAGTACAGTCAAAATCACATCAAGCTGGAGACTTTAATTGGAAGTTAAAATTAAACAACTATAGTAGCAGCACGCTATCATAGCCGTTTTGACGTTTGTCCGCGCATCAAGTTTCATATTAATTCATAACACCTTGAAGGAGCTAATTTATGTATATTGTTGTAGTTAGTGACGTGCAGTAAAATTTGTGACACAACTCGGCATTTGTTTTTCGAAATTCGAAATTTTTTAAAACGATATCTAATACGATCGTCACTTATTGGATCGCTGTCCAGGACAACTTCTATCTCCGGCAAACTCGCGTCAAAGCAGTTTCGAATTGACAATTATTAATAAACATTTTTATTTTCGTTTTATTAAAACTTTTAATCAGCTACCCCTTGCAATACTATTTATAAAGCTAAAAACTTATTGATGCAACTCGCTTAGTTTGATGTGTTAATATAGTGTTAAATTATAATTATCTTTTTTGTTTTTGTGATTATTTATTAATGTTGTTTTAGTTGTAATTATATTGTTTCACTCATTGACTTACAATTATATGGACCTCGGGTCCGCGCTAAAAAGTATCCGAACTTATAGGGCGTTAAAATCGTATACAGAGCGTCATTCACGCTCTAGTTTTCGTTTGTTCGACTAACAGCGAAGCAAGCAAAATTAGAAAGTACTGCGATGACATTACAATTTAAATCTAACGTTTTAGCTTTTTCATATTCCTTTACATGTCACTACGTTTAAATAGGTTGACTTGGGATATTTTTTTCGTGGTTTTCGTATTAAACCCGTCGTCCATTTATTTGTAAGTCAATGGTTTCACTTATTGATGTTTTACCCTTTGGCACAAACAAGATCAAGTTAAGCATTATTACGGCTTGCTTTGAATTTAAATAAGACTTACCTAGCCAATTATTATAAAGTTTACAAAATACCTTGATACGTTGATAAATTGATATGTATGATTTAGGAATAAAAATAACTGCTAGATGGTAGGTAATTGAAACAAAATTGTAAGATTTTATTTGATATTAATTTACCACATATTAAATCATCTAGCGTCTATTTCCGATTCTGAACTTGAATTACCACCAGAACTCGAATGTTGGCAATCTCTCCCTTCAAATCAAAAAGTCACTAGGGATGGCACAGTTTTACTAATAATTAATTACTGGTCATTTTTATGTAATTTTTAGGTGATTTGAAACTTCTGTTTAATAATATTCATTATGAACATGGCTTTAAGATTTAGTATTATACACAATCTTGTTGAATTTCGTAGGAAAACATTGAAATTGTAGTAACTGTGTGTGTGTCACTGTTGTTGTAGCCTGGAAACAGACACCAGTTTGAATCCAATCGGAACAAAGAAAGTTTTCTTTGTGTTCAATCTTTCTATCAATAAGTGTTCGATCTTTGTATTAATAATTATAACAAACTAGTGAAGTAATTTCACAAAAATAATTGAATATCAATTCAATAAAAATTTAAAATATTATAATACTTTATTACTTGTCAATCAATCTGTTTACATTTGTAGTTTATTTATACAATTACAACGTGACAATTCTTGTCAAAACCTGTATAATAAAATATTATTATTGGTATGTGCTACCCACTGATCGATATAAGTTTTACTTTACCACTAAAATACGTATTCCAAGCAACATTTTCAAAGAGACCGACTTCTTTGAAGGCTATTGACTATAATTTGTATATGTATAAAAACTTATCGGCTTAGTAAACAATATTTCTGCGTCATTTGCCATCGATGGCTTGCCTAATTGAAAGAAAATATAAAAGAAAATAAATAAGTCACTTGTCGTCAACCGAATTGGCAAAATTGTTTATTTATACAGCTTGGAGCAAAATTAGCACAGATCGTGAAAAAGTTGTGCCTAACGACTTTAATAAAAAAAAAACATACTTTTAAGTAAATTTATTTTTTTAAATTTAAATTAACCCTTAATTAAATTCGCTGTTTACACTAACGTTAATAACTTTGTGGGATAGTTTTCGATCCCAAAAATAAATACATCTAAAAAGGTAGGTTTATGTCTTTTTGTTTATGGAATAATAAATAAGAAAAACGCTTTTTTTGTAAAATTACTCTTTAGTCAAAATTAAATAAATATCTTACCAACAAATAAGACAGTTTCGACATCTTATAAAACTAGTTTCTGGAATTGGTCTCACAATCAAAGATAATCGACTTAGATAACAACGAAACATATATATTTTGGGATCAAGTAAAGATCATTTCAGTAACTTATAAAGAAACAACAAAACTGGTACTTTCTATAGAAGTAATGACAATAAATATTGTAGCACATAATTTTTTCCCAAGAGAATCAGCTAACGTCTTAGGTTTTATATACTCGTATATATATCTCAACAAAACCATTTGTAACGATTTTTTCCATAAAAGTAACCAGATTGTCTTACTCCGTTTTGATCTTCTTCATCTATATACCTTCTGCTTCTTATTCGCGTCCATAAACTTCTATTTCACTGGCGGTACCATGGTCTGACTTTTCTGGAATGCAGTCTCTAAATTCGTAGGCGAAGAGGCATCTTCAAAAAAATCCGGTGTATCCGGCAAATCTGAATCTTCACTACCTAGCAATATCTCTTTTATTTGATTTTCGTTCATATGGCGATTCATTTTGTTTAAAAAAAATAAAAACAATGTATATTGACAATGATACATACCTACGAAAATACTGGCTGCCACTAAACACGCGTCCAGTCACTGTGAAAGCACAGTCGGATATGATGAGATTTCGATGTGTGTCGATTGTGGTCGATCGAATCAAAATGACTCACATAGCACCTGTGACCCGATAACCCGGTTACTATGGATAATCATTTTAGAGTTCCATGGGTCATGCGCGCAATATTGCTGTTTACACATGGGTCACGATTGACCCGGGTTATCAAAAATGATCGACCGACACAGGTCTAGTGAGATTACGTTGAAGTGGGAGGGCTACGTTGCACTTGGAACGAAGTTATTAGCAACCAAATGAAGGATGGGGTATAAAATTACCCCAATTACATAAGTAAAGGAATATAGTTATGGGTTAAGAATAAAATTCATAAATAAGACTATAATTTGAAATGAAGTCATTCTTGACACTTATGTTTTGACATTTTAACTGCCTCCGTGACTGAATTGCCACGTAGAGGTCCCGGGTTTGATTCCAGGGCCGGGGAATATATTTATTTATCTCGTGAATGCGGGTATAATTTCATCAACAACCACATCAATTATCTTATCCCAAACTAAAGAATTCCCTGTATTATGAGTACCAGAGCAAAGGAATTCACTTCGGGGCACTACACAGAACACCTAGACCATACAGAACCAACTTAGAATGGTTCATTTGATCCACATTGATCCCACCGGGAATCGAACCCGGGACCTCCTTTTTCAGTGCCCTACGGTGCCAACGTTGGGCCACCGAGATCGTCAAAAATATTTTAGGTTTTTGATTATAGATTTTTATTAGGTTTCCTTGAGCAGAAATTGCTTCAAATCGTTTTTTTTGCGCTGCATTTATTTATAGGCGTTTTAATGTTTGACATATCGTCGCCTTATTTTTTGAAACTCGTATCATAAAGCGCAAAGTTACTGAAATACAAAAAATTGACTGTATATATATACAGTCTATTTATATATATATATATTGTGCAGACTAATTTCAGATCACATTTCCTTCATATTTACACACTGGTTTTTACCTATTCTTAGAGTAATGCAATTGACACCCTTGATAAACAATCAATTTTTTTTTTGTGAAATTACTCCTCTAGATTGTTATAATTATTAATACAAACATCGAACACTTAGAGCTACGGCAAAAAGAAGTCGTTTAAAAAAAAGGAAAACAAAGATGTGCAACAAGCACATGGAAAAATTCGTAAGGTCCGCTGGTTCGTTTCGTGGCTTAGTTGGCATAGCGTCTGGCACGGTTTGCTAGAAGTCGTAGGTTCGAAGCGGATCGAAGGATTTTTTCAGAAGGAAGGAGGAGGATTTTTTCTTGATAGATGCTTTTAAAACGTTTGTTATGAAAAGCTCAATAAATAAATAAATAAATAAAAGCATGTCAAAAGGGTCCATGACTCAGCCTCTGAGGACTTACTGTTTACACAGCTCTCGCTGTTATTCTGTCATGGCCCGTCATAATATGGAACACCACAATTCAAATAATAATATATATGTTACATGTTACGTACAAAACAAAAATCAAAATTAAAATAACTGTAGACATATAAGTACTAAGTGACTAAAATTTGACATAAGCAACAATTGGACGAAGTAAATAATCAATTTGAATAATACACAAGTAATATAAAAAGCATAACACCTAACATACACATGAAATTATGGTAGACAATTAGGCACAAAGTAAATAAAATTAGACACACGCAACAATTAGACAAAGAAAAAATCTATTTGAGTAATAAAAAGTTATTTAAATAGCGTAATACCAAACATGCACAAATACACAGAACACCTATACAAACATAAGCTACTTCTTAAAGCCTGCCACTACTTCTTAAAACAAAAAACATTTATGTTTAAAAGTTGGCAACGTTTGAGACACTAGTATATATGACATATAGTATATAATATATATGACCATAGTATGGAAGACTCCTTTGCTGTGCATCGAGAAACCGACGTTTTTGTTTTGTATTTATTTGTCGAATAGACAAACAAAGCAAATACTTTGTCACACATGCTATCGACATATGTTGACTGTTTGTCAAATATATGATACACCCAAATACAAATAGCCATGTGAAATGCCACCATTCACTTTCATGTGATAAAAGTTTCTTTTTATAATATTAAGTGACGGGACAAACAAGTCGTGCACCTGATGGTGAGTTACACCCTGTCCATAACAGTTGTATTGCCACTTAGAGCCTTAAATCGCAAAGAACCGAGGGCACCGTCACTGTGCCTGTCACCCTGCATTCGTTGATAAGTCCCATGTGCCTATAGATAGACAGATAGATAGATAGATAGATAGATAGATAGATAGATAGATAGATAGATGTCATGGCAGTGAAAAAGGCGCTGGCTCAGCATAAATGACGCGGCTGCCCGCGACGCTGGTATTCTGCCAGGACCCTATAGGATAGAGACGCCACTCGCAATCCAACATAAATCTGATTTCATTTTTAAATTATTAATTTTCATTTTTCAATCTTCTTCCTCCCAACCTCCAACATAATACACTATTTGCAGTCCTGAAACGAGGTACAGCCAAGAGCATAACAAGCCTTGGACCTTGGACCGTTCCTATCGCAAGCGGCACAGAGTTGAAATTAAATCTTAAATGTCAAGCACGACGCGCTCCCGACCCTGTACGTCGACAAACAAGAGACAACCGCAAATACCCTAGCCACTCATATCCCCAATTTTTGCAAATTTAACAGATGCTCCCGCAGCTTTAGCTTAAACGTATAATTTCACTAGCACCCAAATTTTAACACAGTAATGCTGACATTACTGCTTGGCGGCAGAGATAGGTAAGGTGGCAGTACTACCCCGGACGAACTCTTTCACAAGAAGCTCTGCTTCTACTACTACTACTACTACTGCTGCTAAAAGTACTTTTGACGTATAACCACATGAGTCTTTATAATACCAAGGGTACGACTGAGTCTCTTTGGTATTATGGAAAAGATGAGTTTTTAGGTAACCTATTACAAACTCGAAGTTTTTTTCCGAAATAACGTTTCGTCGAATTTTCATTATACCGAAAACCGAATTATAACGAAACCGTTGTTCTTTCAGGATATGTTGGATGTTTATTATTAAGGCACGATTAAGTTCGGTTAGATTAGATTTAGTTAGGTTTAAAAGAAAAAAAAAATTCCTCTCTAAATTACTTTCGAGGTTATGAAAATTCGAGCATACGTTATTTTTGGAAAATGTCATTTCGGATTACTTATAGGTAACCGAGCACATAATATCGTGCAAATAATATATTACTTCTTTTTTTAAAGGTAAAAACGTCACAGGAAGTGTGCGTGGAAGCTAAGAAGCCATCTATGGGCTTTGCAGAAACCTGTGGAGCCGCCTTCGAGTATGGACCCAAAAAACTCAGACCTTGGGCTAAATTTGCCAGGTACAATTTATGATTACAATCTCTGATGATACGTTTTTCGTTTTTATACTATACCACTAATTATTTACGAGTACTAGAGTTAGGGAGTAACCCATGGCAAATAGAGCGAATTTAGGGCGTCTTAGAGGTCAACAGGTCCACAATCCCGACAGAGAGTCACGTGTTCACCCCAAAATAAAATAAACACAAACACATTTTTTTATTAACTATTATTTTGATCTAAATCATGTATATATTTTTTTTTTCAAATATACCAACAGGCCCTTTACAGGTCCCATGGTCACGGACGACTGGTTCTGTTTGTTTGAAAAAACAAATATACGCGATTTAGACCCTTTAAGAAACCTCCAACTCTCGAGATATCCTAAATGTTATATACAGAGCATATTAAGCTTTAAGTCGTTTACAAAGGCTTTATTTTTTTTAATATCAGTAGCTTTTAAGATTTTAGATTTCACTGTCCTTATCCAGCCAATTAATAGATAGATAATAATTAGTTACGAGTACAGACCCATAAATAACTTTTATTGAGGAAGGGACCGTTTCTTCTCGTTTCGAAAGTACAGTCTGAGATACTAGTTTTTTTGCGATCCTCAAAGCAGCGACTATAAAGCTGGCCTCCGCCATATTACAAATACCAGAGCATATTTTTGGCGTAACCCGATGAATAAAGGAAAGGCGCACCGCATAATTAAATTAGGGCGCTCAAGGCACTTTATACCGCTCTGTTCGATACAGTCTCCAGCACATGCAGCGACCAACAACATAATTAAATTAATTTTAAGCATTCGGTCTTGAAGCCGTCGGGTCACTTTAAGAATATTGCTGTGGGAGTTCATTTATAAATAATTCTCTATATTATTGTTCTATTTCTCTTTGCAGAACGTTCATAGACTACGCATTAACGTGCACCTACTTGGCAGCTCTTTGTGTTTATGTGGTGTTCATCGCGGAAAATTTTAAAGAGGTAATTTGCAACTAACGCTGAAAAATATCACGCCGGCTTCAACACTGACGCAACTCCAAAATGTCAAATAAAACACGTGACAAATAACAATAATAACTTTTTATAAAAAAAACCGACCCCCAAAGTTCGTCGAGTTACATATATTTGCCAAGTTTTACTGAAATCGGTTACCGGAAAGTACGTGAAACCGGATTCATCCCCTCGTTTTCCACCCTTAGAGGTGGAATATTTTCTTCAAATTAAAATGGGACCAATACTGAGGTACCCTCTTTCCAACAAAAAAGAATCATCAAAATCTGTTCACAAATGCATATGGAATAATCGCGTAACGCACATACAAAAAAAATATAGCTGAATTCAGAACCTCCTCCTTTTTTGAAGTCGGTTAAAAATGTGACGGTTATTTTTTCTAATCGAACCTACCACAGACCACATAAACCTACCAATCAGTTATAATCAGTCATGACATTAGCTGACTTCAAAGTAACCGCTCTCTTGTTATATTCTTTTCAATTTTTTAACAGCAAAGTTTCAATCAAAACAAAACGTATCAAAACATCAAATCGAACGCTAGCCCGATTCGCTATCCCATTATTGTCGACCCGATGGTCAAATACATTGTTAGTAACGTTAGTAGTAAGGCATGTATCCGCTATTCATTCAACATCGAATTCACGAGGGTTTGACAATGAATCGATTCAAATGCCAAAGCGGAGGCTGCTATAATTGATTATCGGAGGATGGATTATCTTTAACTGTACGTAGTGGAACTTTAACTGACTGCATTAGCAGTGGACCAAAAGAAGCTTTGTCTTCGTAGTAAAATCACCTCAGTACAATGCACGTTGTTATTTTACATCAGTAACTTGTTACTTAGATTTGAAAACAACGTACTGATTTTTAGGTATTTTTTATTGCGTTTTCGCGATTGTTAACTATTTATTTTTCAGATCGAAATTATGTAACTAAGGCACGGAGTAAAAGTTTATTTACTTGAAAAAACAATTATACGCAATCTGGACCTGAAAGAAAAATAGTTTCATTTAAAATAACTTTTTAGGATACCAAATGATTTTTAATTACGTAATGGATAAACTTTTCAGAGTATTTCATATCTTGCATTTAAAAAAAAATATGACTAGAACTACCATGGTAGATCAATGAACTGTAATATCAAAAAGTGACCTTAGAGAACGCAGCAATTTTTTTTTACTTTTTTAATTTTTTTCTGGTTATTATTAACAATACTTTCAAATTACTTTGCACGTTGAGTTTTGCGAAAACATTACGATTTTTCACTTGTGACACTGTTTTTAAAATCTAGCAGTGCAAACTGCTGTACCAAAATCTTGCAGAATGCAGTGCTCGTGTGATATGATAAAGGGCAACCTCTTTCATTCTTCTATTTCCTAAACCTTAGGTTCCCAAACTTTTCGGCCGCCCACTTAAGCAAAATAAAAAAAATTCAACGCCAACCACAACAAAAAATAATTGAAAGCACATAAACTTAACATAAAAAACACTAGGAAGAACAATTATATATATGTAGTGTAGTTTATATAGATAATTCAGATTTTTTTTCAAATACGGTAGCACCCCCTGGACAGCATCAACGCCCCTGCCCGCTAGGACTCTTTAACGCCCACTGGGTAGTGACCACTTTGGGAAACTATGTCCTAAATAGTTTTATAGTCTGTCCCAATCCATTTTGAACAAAAAGTAAATAAAACTGTTTAGTTAAAATTCTAAAGCAATCACTCAATAAGTCGAATAAGTAACACTTTCACGTATATTTTGAAGATTTCGACTTGATATCTCATCACTTTTTTCAACAATATTCATTGGAATGGCATCGCAAAATCGTATTTGAAAAATGGTAGTTCAAAAGTTATGTTATTTTTCAACTGTACAGCTATAACTTGTCTATGGTTGCATAGTGTTATACGAAAAAAATATTCGGTTCATTCTATTGAAGTTTTTGTAATCGATTAGTAAATTGAATATTTCAATCGCAATCAAACGAGTATCTAAGTGTAAGAATTTGAAAATTTTAAATATGCTTATGTAGATTTTGAGTCATTTGAACAAATCTATTCATTGAATTAATTAATCGATTTGTAGTTGGCATTACAACTGGCCATCACTAAATCGTCGATGGTCGGGTCAGTGACTTGTTTGTTTGATTTTTGTTTAAAATGAATTGAAACGAAGTATACCAACTGCACAAAAACTCAAGATCCTCTTTTGCACTCGATTACTCCGAGTGGCTAGCCACTGTTGAGAAAATTAAAAAGCAAGGAACAGCAAACAAAGATCCTATTGAAGAACAATGTAAGAGGCAATATAACCTAAAGTAACTAAACTTTTGCTATTTAGAAGTTATAGCAGTTAATTTCAACTTGATCCTGGGAAGTTTATTGAAGTTTAGCGTGATGCGTGATGGTAAACCGTCAACATTATTTTCATACATCCGATTTCTCGAAGTAAACGTTTATGGGATTATATTATACTGCTGTGTACAATTTCCGGCTTATGATGATATATTGTCAAAATAGTGAAACATTAAAGTACAGCTGCACTTGACTGACAGCACGAATATACCTACAAACTGTGTACGCCACATGAAAAGACTTTATGAGCCCAAATTGTTAACAAGTATAGTGACTGAGAAAATTACGTTTTTAAATAACGGCATTCTACCTAATATTTATCAATTTTGAAGTTGATATTTGCTGGCGATTCTTTATAAATTGTTTTCAAGCGTTCAGTAATACGTTTCACCCTGCTAAACGGCCGAGTATCTGGCTCTAAAGCCGAAATGTTTGTCGAGGAAGAGATGATGATATGACGTAGTCTCGAAGACTGAATTAGAGATGCTCTCGTAGAGTTTCTCGTAGAGACGTAGCAAGGAAATACGAATAGTTTGCCAGATTTCGGAATGGCAATTTAATACTAATTTATAATAATAACGCACACACTACCCTGTACAAATTACATACACCCAAACTCATGAGAGAAATAAATGTACGCCAAACCAATATTTCTCCTGGTCCGGGAATCGAATTATGACCTCTGTGTGGTAACCGTTCGGCCACTGAGGCAGTTAACTATTGCTACTTTAGGTTAAGGTATTTTGTTTTACCGATTCATAACAAAGCACGCGCCCGCGCGCGCCATTACGGGCTGCCGGGAGCTGCCGCATGCACTGTAGCGTCACTTTTGAAATTACGAACTCATGGTTGATCAGACAGGCTCTTGCAGGCGAGTCCGCGAAGGTACGGGCCGCACTCTTCCCACGGCCCGAATGGCGCGAATTGGTGCGGCGTGATCAATGAAATCACTAGCCGTCGAAGCCACCTTAACCAGTCAAATGTGGTAACGTTGGGACCCGTTTTTAAGGTCCTTTATGAGCGATTCTACTTCCTTCGGAGTAATTGAAACAAGTGTTTAGTAGCAATAGAGCGCATTGTGAAAGAGTTCGCCCAGAGAAGTACTGACACTGCCACTATTCTTATTTCTGTCACTAAGCAGTAATATGAGCATTCCTGCGTTCCGGTTTTGAAAAGTGCTGGTACAACAATAAGCATATGGGACTTCCAACTTTATGTCTCAAGGTGATAGGTGCAGTGGGAGTTTCGCTAACTTATTTGTCCTATCACTTATTGTCATACAAAAAATGGAACAATGGTGCGCGAGAGGTAATAACTATGATGTAACCTTTCTGCGGTAAAATTCCACCTGGATGAAGTGTAATGGGTCAACCGGTAGTGTAAAGGAGAAGGATTGGGCTTCGAGGTTGTATAATTCATTCATAAACTCCTTCGTACTATACGAAATGGCGGTATAATGGGTGTTAATAGTTATATATATAGTTGAAGGTAAACAGCACCATTAGTTTAAAATTGTAAACTTCCTCGAGCCATATCTGTACTAGATATTGTTTATGCATAAGCGGGCTTTATTTGCAAGCGCACTAGTTTGACTAGGGCATTTAAATACGTGGAAACTTGATTATAATATAGACTACGACGTAGATTATGGTTTTATTAAATTTATGGGTTATAATGTTAACATTGGTAATATTGACGCTAGAATTAAGAAGAATGTTTATGTTTCGAGTTTTTAGGTTTATGTTGTTAGTAGAAATTCTTACTTCATTATAATATTGTTTAAAGTTTCAAAAATACAAGGATTCAAAAGCTAGTATTTTTTTATATCTTGTAGTGGATTTCTCCGTATCTACCTTACACGCTTCAAAATCTACGTAACTACGATACCATTTCATCTTAACAATGCGATAACCACCTGGAACACATTGCGTTATTTTTTATTAACACTTGTTAAGACAAAATTAAAATATAACATAACATTATTTTTTTCAGGTGCTCGACGAATACGTCCCAGATTACAAGCTTTCCGTGGAAACTTACTGCGCGTTGACCTTAGTTCCTTTGGTCCTCATCTGCCAAATCAGAAACCTCAAATGGCTGGTGCCATTCTCTGCAATCGCCAACGTTCTCCTCGTTATATGCTTTACCATCACCATGTATTATATTTTCACTGGACTTCCTAATCCTAAAGAACGAGAAATGGTAGCCAGTGTCACACAGTGGCCTTTATTCATAAGGTAAATTATATTTTTTAATGCATCAATACGTTTGTCCAGAATATTCATCCAAAATATTCATTAATCCAGGGGGGTACTGCCATCTTATCTATTTCTGCCGCCAAGCAGTAATGTCAGCATTACTGTGTTCCGGTTTTGGAGGGTAAGAGTGCTGGTGAAAATACAGGCACATGGGACTTGTCAACTTATGTCTCTGGATAACATTGACAGTGCGCCTCAGATCTTTGCGATTTAAAGAGCTGAGTGGCACTGCAACTGTTATGGACAGGCGTGTAGCTTACCATCAGACGTACGACTTGTTTGTCCCGTCACTTGATAATATTATACTGAAACTGTAAAATAATGTTTGAGAACGTAGTGATTCCTATGTCAAATCAGGTAAAGAACCTGGGGCTTATTATTGACACAGGCCTTACGTGGGATTCCCAGGTGTCTGACGTTTGTCGTAGGGTTACAGACACACTAAGAGCTCTATACAGATTTAAGAACTTTCTTCCAATTAAAACCAAAACTCTCCTTGTTCAAGCTCTAGTGTTGCCTGTGATTGATTATGCTGACGTGTGTTACAGTAACATCTCTCAAACCTTTTTAAATAGATTAGATCGTCTTCTTAACAACTGCATTAGGTTTATTTTTGGTCTGCGGAAGTATGACCACATCTCTGCTTTTCGTCGTCAACTAAATTGGCTTCCCATCCGTGAACGCAGGTCCTTAAGAATTTTAACCACACTTTTCTCCATCTTGTTCGACCCGGCTGCACCTGATTATCTTAAATGTTCATTTCAATTTCAAAACGCTCGGCCGGGTTGTGAATTTCGATCTTCCCGTAGCCTTAAGCTTTCTATTCCTTCTCATCGCACTGAATTTTTGTCTAATTCTTTTACCCTTCATGCAATTCGTCTTTGGAACGCGCTCCCGCTTCGTGTAAGACAAGCTCAGACCAAATTATCTTTCAAGCGCATGTTGCGCAAGCATCTGTTTGACAATTGTCAAAATTAAGACACTGTATAATGTTGCTTTGGGTACATATATCATATTATTTATTATTATAATATATATATATATGTAAGTTTATTATGTATGTATAATAAGTATGTTTATAGTATGTTATTTATTTATACCATACAAATTATCGATTAGTTTTCTAGTATATTGTTCTTCTTGTTTAAGTGTAGCACCAACCTATTGTGTTTTTTTTTTCTGTTTGGCCCAATGGTTGACTGGTAGAGAATGCCTTATGGCATTAAGTCCGCCATTTGTACTTTAGTGTATTGTACAATAAAGTTTAAATAAATAAATAAATAAATAAACTGAAATACGGTTTCAAAAGTTGAAGTCTTTTTCCAATTTAATATCGTTGTGGTTGGTTCAACAATAAAATATCATGCTTATAATGATCACCATGCGTGTAAAAAAATATCCTATGAGCAGGTTCTATGTATAATAAATGAAAGAAATATCTCCGCTTAGTACAATATGTTTATATGAGCTTGAATTGACTTTTTGAACAAAGCTTTTGCGATTTTGTCCGGAACAGTTAATTAAGATATTTACACAGTAATTAACAAAAGAAAAGAAAAAATAAAGTGGATATTTTCAACCTTTAACTAAACTTTTTCAATAAAAGAAAAGAAAACAATCCATGACCACAAACACAAACAAAAGCCACACAGACACTACGAAACAAAAACCAAAGAGGTAGAATCGAACTGGCCAAGTACTTACATTTTAACTCACTTTTTTTATAAATGTTTATGTCCATGTTGCAAAACCTTTAAGCCGATTTAACCAATCAGGAGGCAGTAGAGCGTCTGAGTAGCGCATTGACTTACACTTATATGGACGTCGGGTCCGCGCTAAAAAGTGTCCGCACTTGTAAGGCGCTAAAATCGTATACAGAGCGCGACACTCCGCTTTAGTCTTCATTTGTTCGACTGACAGCGCGATACCGCGATGACATTACAATTTAAATTTCGAATAGGTTGACTTGGGACATTTTTTTCGTGGTTTTTGTATTAGACCCGTCGTCCATTTATTTGTAAGTCAATGGAGTAGCGTCATATTTGAAATTTTGATAACCAAAAAGACTTTATAATTGAGAGAGAGAATTTATAATTGTGTGTATATTTAAATTTTTCAGTTCAGTAGCGAGTACCGTAGACAGAATTTAGATTCAGAGTCAAAAAGAGCGCCTTTGTGATACGATTTATGAAATTATAATTCAGAGATTAAAGTACATAATTCCGGATTCACAACGTGACAATCAAGACTCAACTTGTTTTATTTATTTTTCTTCATGAAAATGCAGATAAATAATTGAAAACAATGTAATTTTTATAGATTTCATTATTACATACTTTCCTTTTTTTGGCAGGCAAAATTCTCTGAATGTAAATAATATTAAGTACTTTAACGTTATACTACGATAGGGCGATTTGGAACATCAAAAAAGAAAGAGATGGCATTATACAGTTCAATAGCGTTATTTTTTCCTATTTTTAGTAAGGAATATACAATATTAATTCGTATGGTAGGCCCCCCGGACATTTACCTATTGAGTAGAAAAAAATTAATAAAGAAATTTAAACAGAACGTATTTTCATTATTTTTGACCGACTTTAAAAAGGAGGAGGTTCTCAATTCGACTGTAAGTTTTATTTTAGTATCTTATACATAACTCCGGTATTTGTGCACCGATTTTCATGATTCTGGAAAAAGGGTACCTCCATAGTGGTCCCATTTAATTTTGAAGAAAATCATCCACCGCTAAGGGTTCCACCGTTCACGCATGAAGATTCATTTTTATTAATGGCGCCTAAATTTTATTACAAGGAGCAATTATTTTAATGGTTGATTTTGCTATTCTGCAATTCAAGGCGTTTTTCTCTCTCAATATACTTTGAGTAGAGAGATCCGATTTTTATTATCTCCTGTGTCAAGTTCCGTATAGTGGCGAACTAGGAGATGAATTCGGGTGGGCGCACTTTCCGGTGACCGATTTCAAAAAAACTTGGCAAATGGATGTAATTCCACGTACTTTTGAGGTCGGTTTTTTAGTACTCTGCACTAATGCTATAGCTGTAGCTATAGCTACACTGATATTTTTTCTTTGACAATACAAGTGAACATTATTTGTCTGTTTCAAATTATTTTGTTCGTAACTGTAAAGAGTGTCATTTGATTTAATACATTTTTAATAGCTCTGTAATTTATTAGCTTTTTATTTAAAGAATATAATCCCAAAAAGAAATAGAACTACGTGCACAGGTCAAGTGTCTGGAGGTGTGACTTTGAAAAAGTAAAGATGTATCCAAAGATTATTTATATTTGTTTGACTTAATAGATAATAATATTGAAATTAATCTACATATCTTGTAATTACACTAAAAAAATTTTTTTTTCTCAGCACTGTAATCTTCGCCATGGAAGGTATCGGCGTGGTAATGCCAGTCGAGAACGAGATGGCAAAGCCTGAACAGTTCCTTGGCTGCCCTGGTGTCCTCAATGTCGCCATGACTGTCGTCATCTCATTATACGGCATTGTGGGTTTCTTCGGATATATCAAATATGGCGACGATGTTAGGGGAAGCGTGACTTTAAATTTGCCACAAGAAGAAGTGTAAGTTTTCCTCCTTTCTTTATTGTGCAATAACCCATCTACATTATCGATACCTATTAAATATTAGACAACATCACATATGTTGCTTTGATCCCAAAGTAAGCACTTGTGTTACAATTATCAAAACAAAACCCGAGACAATATAGAAAAGTTAGTTTTCTGCGTTGACCCGGCCGGGAAGCGAACCTGGAACCTCAGAGATAGCGACCGGTGTGCAAACACGGAGGTCGTCATTAACATTAAAATTCTTACTTTGGAAATATCACAACATCCCTGTCCTTTACAAATGCTTAATGAGATATAAACAATTCCGTCTAAATAAATGACGGTCTGAAAAGTCACAGGGATTATTTTATCTCTAGGTGTACAAGTGATTGCTACGTATTAGAAATAAAAGCAACGGAACTGACTGAGTCAACTGTGACCGTGAGACCTCAATGCCTGAGTCCAAAACAAGACAAAGACACTCGAATCAAATGGATCCGAGAAATATTTTCGTTTGTAATTATGAGAAGCACTTACCGATCGAATTTCGCTCTCAAAAATCTCTCTGAAATCCAATCAATAGGAAATGAAAACTGTTGACTATTTTTTTTTAAAAGCAGAATTTCTTTCAGATTTTTGATGCAATGAATCTTTTTTTATATTTTTCTAGGCTTGCCCAAAGTGCCAAGATTCTTATGGCCCTAGCGATCCTCTTCACCTACAGCTTGCAATTCTATGTACCCATGGAGATGATCTGGAGACAGGTACACAATAAGATCTCCGTTCGTTACCATAACGTCACACAAATCGCTATAAGAACGGCAGCCGTTGTAGGCTCTGGTAAGACTTTAACATATCTACACTAACGTCTATCGTATAAATCTGACATCCATAAAGTAAACCTTACTAATTTCTACCGCCAAGCGGTAATGTTAGCATTACTGTGTTCCGATTTTGAAGGGTAAGGGTGCACATGGGATATAAACGCACATGGGATTTGTCAACCTATGTCTCAGGGCGCAGTGGCAGTTCCCCTCAGATCTTTGCAATTTAAAGCTCTCAGTGGCACTGCAACTGCTATAAACAGAAGTGTCGCTTACCACTAGGTGCACGACTAATTCGTCCCCTCACTTGATAATAAAAAATATATATATTTAGAATAAGACTGATAGATATCTCTGTGACAAGAACACTATCAGCAGATGACAACATCAATCTTGCCAAAGAACCACTTCCCGTGATTGTATTACTTAGCAGGACAATTTTAATCTTTTACAGTCGCTCTTGCCGCCGCGTTTCCGGACTTGGAACTTTTCATTAGTCTGTGTGGAGCCATCTTTCTTTCAAGTCTCGGGCTCCTCACTCCCGCTATCATCGACACCGTCCACAAGTGGAACAGAGGATTGGGCTTCGGCAACTGGATCCTCTGGAAAAATATTTTAGTTTCCATCATCTCTCTGATCGCTCTCTTCGCCGGGTCTTACGTTTCTATAAAAGGAATGGCTGAAAAATTCAGTCACACGCCTGTATTGGAAATCCCTATTAATCAGACTTTAAGCGTTAACTCCACTGTCGTCTAAGGTTGTGATTTGTGTTCTAGTTTTTAAGTTTAATTGTTTTTTTTTATATGTATATATATATAGTAGAATTAGAGCTCTTTGTGAAAAAGTTCGTTCAGGGAAATTGTGCCACCTTACCAGTTTCTGCCGCCAAGCATTTCCGTTTTGAAGGATGGCAAAATTACAGGCACAAGGGACTTGTCAACTTATGTCTCAAGGTGATGGGCGCAGTGGCAGTGTCCCTTAGATATTTTCATCACATTTGCTCGTAAATAGTATGATTGCATGGTGGCTAATTTGACTATAATGCCCCAAATAAAACCCTCGGGCCTTTTTTCTTCCCATTACAGCCATGGTCGGTAAGGATTTTTTTTAAATTGTAGCACGACATTCTTCCTCACATGTCAGGTCAGGTTGAAGTTCAAGCAAGAAGATTGCTTAAGTTCAGAATTAAAACATTCGCTTAAAATGTTATCTAACCAGAAATCTAATCACAAATCTGCCACAGACTACTTAAAAACTTGTTATTAAGAATTCCTTATAATTGATTTTAATTATTTTCTGTATCAATTTAGCAATGTTTTAGAATCCATCATGGCTGTATGCGTCTTTGCTTTTTACAACATTTTAGTTCGAGTTGTATTTATTATCTAAAGAAGAATAGTTAGCGGCCATCTGGAGATTAAAAAAACCCGCCATTTGCAACATCCATAATTTTTGAGTTGTGAACCATATTTCGATAACTCCAATGAACACTACGTCAACTTTTTTTTTGGTCATATTCTATTATTTTTGTAAATAGCCATATTTATTTACTAATTAATATTATGCGCTACGAATTACCACGAAAAAAAATAAACAAAAACAAAATTCGAAAATAATACAAAACAAAAATGCAATTAAAAAAATAAAAACAGAACAGATCCGAAAATTAAGTTGGCGTAGAGTTCATTGGAGGTATCGATTTGTACAAGCAAAATGTGATGAAAAACATTGTATGTACTACGGACGGTAAAAAAATACTGGTAACACGGTAAAAAAACAATGCTATCACCCGTCGGCATTGGGCTTCTAACATCGGGACTCATTAGTAATTTCTTATTTAACTTCGCGTCCTTTATACACAATGTACTATTGTGTTTTAAAGCTCTGGGTGACACACTGTTACCAACTTCGTCGTCCCACCAACGTCCACAACAACGACACAACAACAACAACAACGTCCCGTCACTAGGTATACAAAAATTACTATAGTTTCTTTCTTACACCGTTAACTTACAGATACTTTAAAATTGTGACAACGGTCTTTCTTTTAATATTACTTACCATGATAAATTTTAATTATACATAGTTCTATATTTTTACTTAAGCGTTGTGATATTTGCGACAGATATTGTGACATAATCTATTTAATGCAAGGCATTTAAGAGATTGTGTTTAATTATTGACAAATGTTATTGTGAATTTGAGGACAAATTAAAATTGCATAGCGATTGCTCCGTACATAATAAAATATTTCTGTACTTATTAATTTTTAACGTAACAATGAAATAAGTGACTTAATAATGTACTAACAAATTTAGCGGTAAGTATGAGTTATATGCAGTGATCGGAATTCAGGGAGTTAGTTTACATATAGCATGACCGTTTTCTTTGTATGGACATACCCATTTCGTCATCAATGCATATAAAATTTCTTATTTTACTGTTTATTTTGTAAACATTCCAAAATATGTTTTGCCTTATGTTTATTTTTTTTAATTAATAAAGTATTTAAATACGTAAGTACCACACGTACAATGTCATTTGTAGCAAATACTTAATAGAAAATAATAATTTGTCGCCAATGTACTAAAATTTCAATAAATAATACGCACATTCAAATATAATCTGTTCCGAGAACTCCCGGGATTTGTAGAAGGGAATATCCATAATATTCATTAATTTACCTAAATTATCTCCCTCAACTTCGATCACTGGTTATATTACATTTTTAAATAATGATAATAATTTTAAATAATTAATTTTAAGTAATAATCTTCAACATTTTGCCAATCCTTTACTCACCTTTAGCCTAAGAAGGTAAAATTTTGCCTTATTCCCTTTTGTAATCGATAAAATACCTTTACGTTCATGATTTTAAAATATTTTCGTACTAAGTATTCTATCCAAGTCTCTCTGTTTTACGCTTACTAGGGGATCACTTTATAGTCTATACTTGCAGTTAAAACGAATTAGATGACACTCTATTGGTAAAAATCTTGTTAACCATGTTAGTTCAAAGGTACAGAGCGTCATAATTATGCCGTCAATGTGTTTATGATTGAAACATTTTGGTTTACGTTATTAATTAATTATACACAGAATTACGTGGTTTGAAAAGTCATACGGAAGAGAAAAATGCTAGTGTTGCCAGCAATAATTAAATTACAAAAACCTGTGTTGTTTGTTACTGACACATAAGGACGCGTCTAACACTAATGGATATTAATGGACTCTTTTTCACTAATATACGCGTCTTAAAAAGTTTACGTAAAAAACAAATAATAACAATTTTATTCATCAAAATCTACTGTTAGAGACTATACATTGTGTTATAATTCTTACTCTTTTTTCTCTAGCTTTGGCATCGAGTATATAACCGGAAATAGAGACGAAATAAGGGCCACCCATCCCTGGCAACTCATCAGGTAAATGGGCCTTATATCACTTTTAAATATCAACTCTCGTTTGCGCTGAAATCACAAATTAGAAAACTGAAATAGAACAACGCCAACAACTGACTTGTGTGTACGTCCGTATCTTCTAAAAATATTCTATATTTATTGTAATAAAGATAACTAATGGGGGCAGTTCCATTTGGTGGTGTGGGAAAAACAGCAAAACATCTAATTACAAAACAAACGGAATCACATTTCATCGGTAATTAAATATTAAATATATAATTTTGCAATTTTCGCCATTACAGCAAAGCTAAAGTTAAACTGGTCGATTTGAAGTGAAACAATTGAAGACACTCGTCAATTGTTTCGAATTCGGGCTGTCCAATCGGAACGCAGTTGTCACAGCAATTATTTGGCAGAATAGTTTTCAAACAAATTAAAATGACATTTCGTCTCTATTTCTAGTTATGCACTCTATGACTTTTGGTATTCGCGTAAAAAGAAGACCACTCTATACAATACCACTTTATTATTTGTTGTATACTCAATACTCATGGACATATTTAGTGGACGCTATAAAAGGTTAAATTATGATAAAAAACGGTCATACGAACACATACCAGTGCCTCTACCATGAGATTACAGTGACAATTATCGCTAGGGGGCTGTATAATTTGCCATACTAAATTGTGAAGTAATTTTGTTGCTTGCGACTACTGTCATAGTAACTCGTGGTAGAGGCACTAAACGTTTAATCGAAATCAAAAGACGATTGATGTCGTTCTCTTTTCAAATACGACGTTCTGGCCAGTGGTTGTTATAGCGTCTGTGAGTGTAGTTTTTAAAAAGTGCTTAAAACAAAGTGAATTAGTACTTGTGTGTTTTGTTCGTAATTCTTCCGATGATTACATTAAGGCTGTTGACACATTATTTTTTTATACAGTCATGGAGACTATAAACTTTAGATTAAGTCATTATAAAAAACAATCAAATTGCCATTCTTTTTAAGTACCTTCGTAGCAAATTTTATTCCATACATGTTTTACTCTTATATATGTATTACATTTTGTTACATAATTTATTATTTTATGATGAAATGTTTACTGAAATAACATTTGAGGGAACTCAATTAACATTTTGTTAATAATATTGTTGTATTTGCCCCATTTCATTATAATTTCAGAATTTACGTAGGCTAGTACAGTCAAAATTGAAATGATCTTACAGCGATTACACACGGTGACTTTAGCAGCGATGCAAACGCGATGCCGTAGGGATGCATTCACGCGTCCGCCGCGTGGTTCAGTGTGGAAGGGTTCATATAAACTCGTACATTACAAAAATTCCCGCCCTCTGAACGCTTACGCGGCCGCTCAGATGACTTTGACAATGACTTTACAAAGTTAACCCACCGCTATAAAATGTTTGTTTTTCACGTATTAGAAGTATAAGGGTAGTGACGGAAATTCAAATAAATATTTTTTATAGGAAATGAAACTATCACCCTGACATCCGTGTATGTGACAGTCAACCGTGACCATGAGACCTGTAAAGGGCCCGAAACGTCGGTTTGTTTGAAAAAACAAATATACGCGATTTAAATCCGGAAAAATAGTTTCATTTCCTATGTGTAACTATCGCGAAAACCTAAGAACTCGATAAATATTTTTTATCTACAAATATTTGCGAAAATCTATTCACGCACTGTTCCTTGTTTTTTATCAAGACGTCAAAGAACAAGATATAGGTATTTACAACTTGTACTCGTTCTTCCAAAGGCAAATCTACTTCAATTCATCTTCATATTTAGTAATACATCTACTTGTATGTATTAACTCGGGTACCCTTGAATATTGATCATTACTTAAAGCATTTATTAAACCATCTGACAGGCGTGTGACTAGATTAATATGATACAACTTGGTTAATTGCTATGTTCGATTTTTGTATTAATAATAATAATGTGATAATAATTATCACATTACAGCTTGTTGCAGATCCTTGTTTAACGACTTTTTGCCGTAGTACATAGAAAAATTTGTTGTTTGCTGATTCGTTCCGTAGCTTAGTTTTGAGAGCGTGGGCCTGGTATGCTGAAGACGAATCCAGCTGGATCGAATGATTTTTTTTTGTTTTTGTTTGTTTTATTAATACTTATAAAAAACTAGTGGAGTAATTTCACAAAAAAAATGGAATATCGTGGTAATAAAATATCGTGATAGTCAATAAACTTCATATTACTAACACATTATTAGCTTTCATTACGTTGACATTGTAACTCGATGTGAAAGCCTTATAATGCTGCAGATGTAATGTGTAGGCAATGCGCGTATGAAATGGTCGCGTATCATTTTCGCATCCTAACTATAGATAAGCGATAAGCGCGTGAGATCAGCGACAGGTCGGAGAAGCGTCATCTGTTACAGCGGAAATCTATAGAAGAAATGTTTTTGGTTATCACCATGTCACAGAATCTCTCAATAGCCT